GCTGTTTTTTCCTTGTAGAACATAACCACTGGTGTTTCCAGTGTGTGGAAGATCCACATTGCAAACAGGATGTGATGCTTTACTGGTTTTCTTTCTGGTCAGCAGGGTTTGAGGATTGATTGCTATTTTAATGACATGCTGTCTGAATTAAGAGGCACTGAGATGTTTTTAGTGCACACAGCAATGCAGACCAGCAACATTTTCATCTTTTTTCTCCCTAAAATCGAATGAGGGTTTTCTAAATGAAGGAAATGTGTTCACACGGACACAAGTGGCATATATTCTTCTGCAAATATTTGACCAACCAACTCCATAGTTGAGCCACGCTGTTATTTTTCAGTATAAACATTGTTCTCCAGGTAATGCTCTCTGTGGCCTCTGATTCTGCCAAAGAAGGTCTTTAGATACCTTTAGATAATGTTCCGTTTACAATTGTATGGACTTTCTTAAGAAAAGATTAAGCAGAAGCTGAAATACTTTTAAACCTTCCAGTGAAAGGCTGGGCTTTCACAAATGTACCTTGGGACAAAGCCAAGGCTCTCGATGGCGTCACCCCGAGTGGCTCTTGGGAGATGGCTGCAGCTTTCCTCTGTGCAGCCACAGGCTGAGGGCGGTGGGGCAAGCAGATATTTGGGCTGCTCCCTTTCAGTTTCCCAGCTGGCTGAACTGGGAGAGGAGGGTAAAGTTGATGTCCTTCCCTTTGGGGGAGAGGATCTTGCTTTGCAATGCAGTGTTGTCTCCTTGTGTGCATTTTGGTTGTGCTGTTGGTTTTTATGTACATTTCTAGAATGCACCTCATCCTGCAAAAGAGGAAGGAATCTTTTTCTGTACAAAATATGAACATGTGACAGCATAACATGGAGTTTCTCAGGGCAATTTGTCATCATCACAGAAACAACACCCATTAAATTGCAGCGGTGAAAGTGACCAAACAAATATCTTATGTGTGTACCTTCCTCTTTCCCTGGCCTTCCTGATTTATTTCTCCCCGTTCCTCAACATTTACCACTGTTCTAATTCATTCCTTTTGGGGAATCAAATGAATGTGAGGTTTCTGGCACTTGGGACTCAACTGCTGTGCTGGAAAACAAAACACCTGAAGGCTATTTATTTTGAGATATTCCTGAATTATTAATTCAAGTAAATGAGTGCAGATTTTTTCGGGTCCCAGGGACAATGCAGACTAGAAGCTGTGCTTTTAGTGTTTTTTTTAGTTTTTAGTCACATATAAATATATATATATTTGCAACTGCAATGTTAAAACCATGCAGGACATAAATTAATGCCTTTGTAACTGAGCTCTATTTCTGGATGAAGAGATGGGCTACAGTGGAGTGTATGGAACACAGTGGGGCTTAGCTTTGTTTTCCTCAGGGATTTATAAACCAAAGCTCCATTTCATTGTAAGAGAATGTAGCTGATGCTTTTGTATGCCAACATTATGCTATTGGAAATGGCTCACTATGAACAAATAAAACAGAAATCCAGCATTAAGGTGACCTCCATAACGTGCATAAATACCATCAGGATGGACTCCAGCAGTGAACGTGCGCCATGTGAGCAAATAAACTCCTTGGCTGCAAACAACAAGCACTGCTGGATTCTGCAGAAGCTTATCTCACCTTATATCAGAAAAGAGATTGCCTTTGTGTGTGACTAATGATTCCAGTGAAATTGAAAGGTCGTTTTTTCTAGCAGTCGAAACATGCACACCTGGAACGTTACAAAATGAAATCAGGAGCTGAAAAACTGTTTAGATCCATAGCAAAATAATGTATGTTCCTGCGTTTCCTGGAGTTTTTCCTCTTGCTGAATTGATTTCATGGCAGCGCTGCACGCATAGCTCTTGGTCCCGTGCTGTGGAGGAGCTGTGTGGGATGGGGAGAATGAGATCCAGAGAAGCCTGGTGAGGATGATGGGAGCTGAAGTTGGAGGGGCTGTGCTTGCAGACAGTGACATGCCCTGTTAAGCCTCAGTGTTGGTGAGGATGGAATTTGTTTGGCCTTCAGGGCAGGTTGCTGTGTGTTTCCGTGCTGTTGGTGAGCAGCTTATATGATTGCCTGCTGGAGGTAATGGTGAAGGGTTCAAAAATGGACTTCTTCGGCAGCAAAGGGCTTTAGAGGGCTTAATTTAAAATGAAGCAAAACCCAATGAACCTTAACATTTAAATCTGTCACTAATGTTTTTGTATCAGCCCCTGCTGTATGTTTTCCCTTAGATCCAAAGGCAGTATTTATTCTGGCTTATATAGCAAGCCTCAGGTGATGGTATTATGATTTCTGCATGTACCTGTTACACCACACAGACTTCAGTATTTGTCTTTGGAGATCTCGATACGTTCCAAAACATGAGACTTCTGTAAACTTATTGGGGCAGGGAGGATGGATAGAGATGACAAATGGAGATAAGTTAGAGCTGGGACAGACAGGCTTCTCGTGAGTGAAGTGGCTTCAAAACAGATGACAAAATATATTTATATTGTAGCCTGGAGACCTGGAGAAGCAGGGTGTTTGTCTGGGCATTGTATGGAGCTCATCAAGAACCCCTCACCCTCATCTTCCTTCAGGAAAAACTTTTCCTGATAACCTCATTTGAAACTTCTTCCTTCTCATAGAAGGGGACGAAGGATGGGGAAAAGGCAGGAAGCTGAGAGCACTGCTCCCTGTGGCTGGCTCCTCGTGGAGCAGGGAGCCTGGAGCCCCAGCCCTGCCTGTGGGCCAGGAGGGGTTTCTTGCTTCTGGGCTGATCATGAGCCAGTGCCCTGACCTTCCTTTTCCTACCTCTCCCCACTGTAACTCTTTGTTGGACTGCCTTGGACACCATGTGCTGCAGTTGCAGTTCTCCCTCCTCTGTGTTTTGTTTCATCTGCTTGGTGCAGCTGCAAAACAACTCTTGTTTTGAACTGAATCATTTTGTTTCCAAGTTTCTCCAGCCACAAACAGAGCAGGAAAAATAAAACTCGACGGGTGAGACTGTTCTAAAAGAATCTGAATCAGCCAAGAGCCTCTCCCTCCTGCTTGGCTCCGAAACTTGGCTCCTCCAGCTCTGCTTGCAACTCATCCCAGTTGTCATCACGTGGAGGGATGCAGAGCTGTGGGAATTGGGATGCACAGTGGTGAAGAGGAAGTGCTGATGCTTCTTCTCAAATTGCAGATATATATCCATATTCTCAGAGAGCTGCAGAGGGCTTTCTTCAGTGTCTTCCATCCCTCTCCTCCCAACTCTTTCCCTAGCTGGGATTCCCTTCTATGAAACTTAGTGCTGTTGTCCCATTTGCTGTAACTGGTGGGAGAACACAAAAACCTTCATGCCATCACCACTACTGACAGCAGCTCCCAGAGGAGCCATCTGCACCCCCAGAGCTGCAGTCTATGACAGGCTTTCTTGCTGGCTGCAGAATGATGTGCTGCTAAAAACCTGGCCCAAGATCCCTTCTTTGCTCTCTTTTTCTTTCTCCTATGTCCAGATACAAAGAGCTTGCGTGCAACTTCACGTTCATCTTTTGCACATCTGTGATCATGCTGTGTGTCCCTGCTCAACCTTAAGGCACTGATTTTGTGGGAGAAGGGTCTAACATGCAGCCAGAGCTCTGCTGAGGTAACAGAGAGGATGCAGTTCCTGTTGCCTGGCCTCAGGCTGTTTTAACAAAGACGTTGCTGCAACTTGCAACCTGTTTTCTAGATAACTTGAGCTCGTAGGGCTCTGGCTCAGATACCTTTTTCACCCAGCCCTGAATGGAGAGGCTTAGAGCTGGCAGCCCTGAGAGGTGATGTGAATTACTATAGGATCCTGCATCTCCATTAATGACTGTGGTTGCTCTGTCATTCACTCCTAAGTGCAGGGACTGTGGCCTTGCAATTACTACTGGTGGCAAATGTGTGCAGTGAGAGCTTCTGTCCTTAACAGGACCTTCTCCCAGCCAGTCTGCAGCAGATCTCTCATTTATCCTTTCCTCATCAGGAACATCCCAGAGAGCTGCTGGCAGCACGGATCTGCTCTTGTTACCTATTTCTGTATTCCTGTGCTGAATTGTTACCAATTCAGTGGTGAAACTTACGCTGCACTTCAAAATAATGATGCATGATGGTGCTCACGTATCTTCAAAGGAGCAGGGAATCAAAATAACCATGTGAGCCAGTGCATGACACTCATTTTGTAACCCAGGGTGAGAAGCGAGGTGAAGAAGCCAAGCATTTCTTTAAGTATGCCTTGTGCCACAGTTCAAAGGCAGTGACTGCAGCCTGGGGGAGTACGGGGACCTGGCTGGGGATTCATTAGCTGGAGGACGCCTGCTGCATGCAGCCTTGCTCCCTGTGATGCTGCTGGGTGGCACAGCACGCTGCTGGGTCCCAGGCTGCTGCCCGCGGCTGTGGCTCATGGATGGGACCCAGGGCTGGGCAGTTGTGAGCCCAGCTGTAACGTCAGGGTGGCTGCCAGCATCCTGTAACCACTGCTAACTGAGCATGTTTGAACTGGGACCAATGAGACCTGTGGGCAGGCTTGTGTTGTGTTAATTCAGAGTGGTGTCCTTTGAGACAGCCCTGAATCATAGAATCATAGAATCACCAAGGTTGGAAAAGACCTAAAAGCTCATCCAGTCCAACCGTTCACCCATTACCAATAGCTCCCACCAAACCACGTCCCTCAACACAACATCCAGTATCACTAACACTTCCCACCCCAGTCATCCACTGCAGATGCTGGGTGCAAAGCCTCAGCCCCAGAACTTCCATTTGATAATAATTATTTCTCCTCTTTCAGCCCAGCTTTGAGAGCAGCTGTCTGTTGTACCACTGCAGCATCAGCTGTGCTGGCAGTAGGGAGAACACAGTGCTTGCAGAGCCTTTGGGTGCTGTCAGGTCTCTTTGCCCTTCTGCCCACCCTTACACACTCAGGTACCTTACACACTCACTTACTACATCAGCTCCTTACTTCCAGTTTCTCCACCACTTCTGCCACGAGTGTGTTACAGCAAGAGCAGTTCATACAAACCAGAAAGCTTCATAAGCATGAAATCATGTATTTATTGACAGGAAGGGACAATGAAGCAACGTAAAGCACACCTACTAATGGTAATGCAATTAAGTTATAACTCATAGAATATATTTCATAGGCTAGTTCAGTTTAGCATATGTTGAATAAACGATAGGGTAAGGCTCCTGTCCTCCTTGATTAAAGTTGAATTCTTATAGAGTAAATTTCTACTCTTTTTAAAGATATCCCATAAAAATGATCATTTTTTCACTTAAAATGCTTCCTGATGCTCTTCTATGTTCACTGTATCACTTCATTCTTCATTTTGCTTGCGATGCAGCATCTCTTCGTTTTTACTTTACATAAAGGGTCTTCAGTTTCAGTGAGTGTTGGATCTGATCCTTAAATCCACCAATGAAAGCCGAACCACTCAGACGATCCTCATTAATTCTCTTCACATGAGGAAGCTCAGATGTGAGTTAAAATGCCAACATGAAGGAGGAATGAGTGGTAATAGAGGTAATAGAGTGGTAATAGAGGGGATCTTCCCCTCAAAGCACAAGAGGAAAGTCTTTGTATTTCCATGTGAAACCCAAAAGGGGAAAGGATCAAAGCATGCAGAACACCTATGGCAGGAGGGGGATGTTCAGCTTTACAACCCATTATGTGAACAGCAACACAGAACTATAAGGTACACATAAGAATCTTGATGTAGGTCTCATCCAGACCCAAGAATCTGAACATAGATGAATGCAACCCTGATCAGCAGTTCAGAACATGAGAAACGTAAGATAGGACCAAAATCCCACTGGAGTTAACTTAAACACTGTCACTTTTCTAGTAAAACTTGCTTCATGTTGTGCAACGTAGCTCTTGGAGCTTAACACTTAAGGATACCCAAGAAGAAATAAAAGGAACCTTTTGACAAGAAAATCCAAAGAGATCATTAAAGATCAGTTCCCCAAGCGTGCTGAGTACTCAGAGCTGGATCCTGCAATGTTACACGTGAAAAATCTCCCATCTACTTTAATGGGAAGTACATCTGTGAGTTGATTGCTGGATCAATCATTTTGTAGCTAGGTAAATGTAGATTGCTCCATACGTAGCAAACAGGGAAGTTTCATAGAAACCAGCTAATTCACAATCAGAAGTTCAAATTAAATGACATTACATCTGGGGAGAGAATTTTCTTTCTATTAATTACCTAATTTCTAGCAGTCCCATTGAATACTTCTGTATCTGGCAGTTGAAAATTTTTTAGGCAAAGCTGCTCGGTCTAACAGCGCGTTGTTGTGAAGTATTCTTACAGACCTACATTTTATAAAGCTGTATTCCTCTGTTAGATCATCACAGATAAACCATTCCAAATGTTTTACATCCCAGACTTCACCTGAAGTCCATTGCTGGTGGCAAATTCTGATTGCATAGATAATCAGCTCGACTCTTGTTGAAAAAATCTGCTCAGTAGCAGCACAGCTGTGCGTTGTGCTTTGGGTTTTGGTCTGTCTTTTTTTTGGAGGGGGGGATTTTGTTGTTATCTTTTTCCAGTGCCTTGAATTCAGACTGCAGAGACTGACCTTACATTGGTACCATCAGGACTAGGTCCTTAAGGGCTAAAATAGAAGGTTTTCCTCTTAACCAATGGTAGCTGCATTAAAAAAATTCAGACATTGGGAAAGTAGAACATCTACAGTTGCAATGGCCCTCCAGAAAGCAGTGCTAATGCTCAGCTTCATGAGAAAGCTAAGACCAATTCATTGACTGGAGCATCTAACACTGTCTAAGGATTTGCCCTGCCAATCAAGTTTACTCTTGATTGCTGGGTACTGAGGAGATATCTTCAACAGGCAGTTCAAGCTATAATACTTTTGAAGACTTTTACTGTCTGTTTTTGGCCTATTCTTCAGCAACAGCTGCAGCACACGGACCACGAGATGCAGATAACGAGCCTTATCAGCATTTCCCTGGAAGGTAATAAATGAACACAAATTCGGTTCAGTTTACATGTGACGTCTTCTTTCTCATGCCAAACACACACTGCCCTATTTTCAAGCTAAAGAGGTTCTGTGCAGAACTCTGGACTTAATCCAAAGTCTGTTGTAAATCACTGGGCATCTTTTCCATCAGTTCCCGTGAAGCTCATGAATTATGGTTTTATAGCAGTGCAGGGGATGAACCAGAACTTGACACTACATTGCAGCTCTTATATTACTGAGATTCTGACTAGGAGAAAACATTCACAGAAAATACCTTTAAGAATAATGTCAACGAAGTCCAAAGGTGAAACGGGCAGAAGCTCAGAGAAGTGATCTGCTGGTGAGGGACACGGCACTCCTGGAGCTGCCAGCAAACCATTACTCTGCATGGATGAGGAAAGCAGAACAGTAAATTTCCAGCAGAAGTCTCTGTGTTCAGACCATGCTCTGGTTTTGCGATTCCAAACCTAGATTCTGCTCCTTGCCATCAAAAAGGAAAGGGTGGCAGAGTTATCAGTTCAGTCAGAGATGAGCTGAGTTGAAATTATTTTCATGGCTTCTGTTGTGAATTATCTCTTACAGAGAGCATGGACTGGATGGTCTTAGAGGTCTTTTCCAACTTCGGTAATTCTGTGATTCCCTAGAGGACCTGAAATGTGGCTTTCAGTCTGTTTTTCTAGTTCAAATCTTACATTACTAGTTTCTATACGTATGCATAAGTGAGAGCTCATCTCTGATAGTCAAAAGACACTGAAAAAGGGCTGTTGTTACTTTCAAGCACCGAATATTTGTTTAATATTGGACAAGAATACTGAAGTCTGTGCTGCATATTGCATTATTTCAGCTGAATAGGATTTTGAAATGGAGCCCACAAGGTTTCACTTCTCAGTGCTGGTGCCTTGTGTCCTGTACCAAACACAGCAAGAGCCACGGATACCCACGGGACCATCTGGATATTTTGGGACCTGCCATGTGCTTTTGGTGCAGAATGGATGTGCTCAGGGTTGGAGGAAAGGATACAATTCAGCTCTTTGTCTTTTAAGGAATTGCTGAAAGTAAGGAGACATTGGCAATGTCTGGGGCAGTGTTTGCAGTGAGGTCCTTTGGAGCCTTTCCCCTGAAGAGGGGATTCTCTGCCCTGTGCCAACCAGGGCAGGGCTGGGAGCATCTCCTGTGCTCACTGAGGGCTTGTGTTAATCTGGGTTCTCGGGTACGAGGTCAGAGCCTGCTTAACAGGTGCTGTATGGTTACCTCTTGAAGAATGTCCAGTTCCTTGGGTTTATGAGTCTGGAGCAAACACATCAGCTCGGTGTTCTCCTCAATTTTTAAACAGGGAGCAGTAGTTTGACACGAACGTAGAACCTGCAAATGCAGTGAGACTGTGATTGCAGTCAAACAGGAAAACGTAAGGTCACAGTGAACAGCCTGCTGCTGATTCTCACCTGCAGCTCCGGTTTTCCTCCCATGTGCAACAAGCAGTTAATTCCCTCGAGAATTTGGTCCTTGCGTAGTTTGAGGAACCTCCCCATGTCACTGTCACCGTCGGTTTTTTGAGATTCCGTGGCTAAGATGGTGTGAGCAAGAGCAGCACAGTGCAGTGGTGTCAAACCTGAACAGAAACCACGGAGCAGTCAGACACGTCCATCTGCACTGCAGGAACCACCCCACCCCACGACAGCCCCCACGAGGGCAGGCTGCTCGAATGCCAAATCGATCATCCTCAGGCCCAGGTAGAATCTGTTGTTTGAGGCTTCTGACAAAAAGCATCCAAACGGCGAAGCGCTTCCTCTTACCGCAGTGGTCCGCCACGTTCACTGCTACGCACACACCGCCGTCTTTGCAGTTTTTCAAAACCTGACACCAAGAAGATTTTGAGATGATAAATCCCGATTTGGGCCCAGCTGCCCTTATTCTATCTCACCTTAACCCCATCAGACCAAAGGTAACTTCCAGGTTTCAAAACCCCTTGTCTGCTTTAAACTAAAGAGCACGCATCTGACTTCTGCTCTATCGCTGCACATCCCACCGCACAGCAGCAATGATAGCGCACCTCTAAGACCCGCAGGTACCCATTCTCTGCACACAGGTGGAGGGGGGTTTTCCCCCGCCCATCCTGCTCGTTGACGTTTGCCCCCAGGGATATGAGGTCACCGACCATCAGGTGCTGGTTCTTTTCTGCAGCAAGATGTAGTGCTGTCTGGGGAGAGAAGAACGAGAGAAACTCATTGTTGCTTTAAAGCCAGTCTTACATTTCACAGTGCTTGTTAGAGAATGAGGTGGGGAGCGGGATGCTGGGATCCCTGCCCAGCTATGCTATGACTTGCTCTGCTCGGAGCACTGCCTCCCTCCTTCTGTTTTGCTCTTCACTCGAGGATAGCAGCCACTCCTTCCCAAAGTGATGCTTGGCGTTTGTCAGGGTTTGAAAGGCATCTGCGTGCCATAGGAAATGACTCTTAGCAATTCAGCATCCTACCCGTTTCTCTGCATCCTTCTCATCAATTTTATTCAGGGACGCAAATCTCCGTGCTAGCGCGTAAGTCAGAGCTCTTCTTCCCTGAGCAACAGCCTTGTGCAGCAGCCTGGAACAGAAGATGTTTTAAACAGGTAAAATAATGGTTAAATTACTCAAAAGGAACAGAGATTTCAAAGCATGAAATGTTACAGGATCACAAACACCAAAAGCTTGAGATATTTAAGCATTTAATTTATTTAGTCTGTATTGATAAAGGAGTTGCTGATTTTCCAGCTTTGTTTGAATTTATTGTCTGCCAGGATTTCTTGGTCCTCCCTTCTCACTATTACCCCATTCCTCTCCTATCCAGCAGCTGCTGCTCCTTCCTTCTAGCCACCAACCAAACCTGATTTCCTCCTTTTTTTTTTTTTTCCTTTAGTATACAGAAAAAGCAGCGGAAACCCAAAGAAGGGAAACCTCTTTCCTGCACCTAACAAAGTATTTCCAAACCGTAATTCAGTCCTATGTAGGACCAAGTATCAGTGTACTAACTCCAGTCTCAGGGAGCTGCTCAAAATAGTGTGTTTCTCCTGAATCTCATACTGGAATTGTTGTTAATTTGGGTGAGCCTTTCTTTCTGCCTGGAGGAAATACTGACACAGGCATTGGTGGTATTTTTCCCTTTGTTTTTTCCTTCCCTTATCCCAGAGCATGATAACTGTGCCTCAGGGTTGGTGTATTGGGTGTGTGGTCTTGCCTTTGTGTATTCTTCTGACCTTGTCACCCGGTGCTTATGTACTTTGTAAATGTGTGCTGCAATTGTTAGCTCGTGACATTTACTTAAATACAGTCAAATTGTCTTAATTTCTTAATTGTAATTAGTTTTATTCGCATGTGAGAATTTGATCCCAATGTTTTCAACCTAGCTGAACTGCACAGAACCCAGAAGTAATTTTCCTTAGAGTGCAGCGTGGAAAATATCTCTTCTGCAAATCTTTTTCTGTAGCAATGACTCGCTTTGCTTGAGTTCATTTTCTTGTGAGCTTACATTTACAATTTAGCCTTGAATGTTGTTCCCACTGAATTTGTCCTATGGCAATTGTTGTCTAGCAATACCACAGACATGAAGTATTTCTAATTTTACTAATGGAATATTGATTCGGTCTAAAACCGAGGTTCTGGAGCACATCTGAACACACCATGGAGCTGGAAGACCTTTGCCACAGGCATGCCCTGAAGTAGCACTTGAAGTTACAGTCCCAGGAAATAGAAATCAATGTATTTCTATAGGAAAAAAAGCTGGAGACCTGTTGCCATTTTCATCAGGTGCAAGCAGTTTGTCTGCTGGAATATTCCTCAGCAAGCTTTCCTCCCTGTGTAGCTGGAACTGGAAGAAAGAGATGGCAGAGAGATCCTGCTGTGTGAAAGCAATCGAGGTCTGCCTCGAGCATCCTCTGGAACCCAAAGAGTCGCTGTCAGCCTCCACAAATGGCTCTGGATGGGCTCCTGGTGGATCGAAGCAGGGAGATGTGCTCTGTGCAGGCTGTGCCCAGCAGTGCTTCTGGGTGCTGCTACCCATGCCCTGCATCCACCAGCTGCTTTCTTTTTCCCTTGTCCTTGAGAACGTTCCTGGTGAATCAGGCTCATGCATGTCTTTCTGACCATCACAAAAGGAGCTCTCTACCTCCTCCTGCAATGCCGAGCTGCAGTCTATAAAGCAACAATGAGAACGCAGCTTGGTGAAGCTTTGGCACCTTTCCTGCACGTTGCCAGCTGCCTGCTTGCTTCCTCCAGCTCCCCACCAAGGGGCCTGCAGCTCTGCAGGGAAGCCCTGCCAAAAGCCATCGGGCGCAGCACGCAGAGATTCCTTCTTCAGCTGGCTTTTGTTCAGGTCTTCTTGCAGCACCTCCACCAGGATATCCAGGTCCTCTAAGCCTTTTAGCGTTTGCCCGATGCTCTGCTTGCTCTGAAACAGCAACAAAAGTGGGGAGGGTGGAAGATGGGGGAGGGAAATCAGACATGAAGTGTCCTGTTCTGGCTGGGTGATATATGTGAAATGCGCCTGGGGAGGCTGGCAGCGCGGCGCTGAAGGTGTTATGCATACCTGTCTAAGCTGCTTCTCTGTATAAGGGTGAACTCTTCTCTTTTCTGCTGAAAAGAAAGGAAGAAAAAAGCCATCTTGAGTTTGGGGCAGGGGAGGCCAACGCAGAACTATTCGGTCCCACATAACACATCCGCAGTGAAGGTGCGTGGCTGCCCTGCTCCTGCCATTGGAGGGGCCCTAGGGATGGCATGGGGCTCTTTGGTACTCAACACTGAGTCCCTATGTGAAAAGGAGGTGGTGTCACTGAGAGGAGCTTCCCAACCTGTTTTTCCTGAGGATCCTTTGCTTGCCGTCCTCACTGATGAGGCTTCCTGAGGAGACAAAAATAATAATAAAAACAAAACTACATTTAAAATGCTCGCATGTAAGGAAGTGAAACAATGGCAAACTGTGTGACCTAAGCTAAGAGCATTGTATTTTGCACTGTGTACTTTGCACAGCAGAGACTGCACATGAATGAATTTCCACGAGCAGGCAATTTGTAGCAGCCACACAAGGACAGGAGCACAGCCTTTTTGGAAGCCTGGCTTGTTAGAGCCAAAGGGCGAAGTTGTTTCTTTGGGCCACCTCTGGATAGATTGCAGGGCAGTATTCAGATCACGGATGGTTTCTTGCAGCCCCAGCTCTGAGGGCCGCCCTCCCACAGCCCTTACCTGGCTGGCAGCTGCCTGCAGCCCCCTGGAAAGCCGGACCTTCCTCAGCAGCTCCCGCACCGGCATCTTCACCCTCACACCCATGTAACGCCTCCGAGGAGGGGGATCCGAGCCCAGCGCCGAGTCTGGAAAAGTCACCACACGATGCTTAAAGGAACAGAATTCTCTGAGCTGTTAGAGGGCAGTGGGAGGATGAGGTCACCCTGCGAGCTGTGATTCTGGTGTTCATCATCACTTGTGGGAAATTTCCACACCACCCCACGTCTTCCTTGACTCTGGCCTTTTATTAAGACGCTTCCTGCTCACAATTACTGCAACGCATCGCTTCTCGGGCTGCTCCAGTGTGCTGCAGTAAATATTTTGGTGCAGTTTCCTGTCCCGCAGTTTATTTTATTGATTTTGGTTAAAAAAAAATAAGGAATAGAGTTGTTTTAGAATTGAGATAGTGATGCCATGTCCAAAGTCTTTCTGCAGTGGCTCTTGGTGTATAGAGAGACATGGTTTAGTGGAGGGTTGCTAGAGTTAGGGTAGTATGGTTAGATTGTGGCTGGACTCGATGATCTCTAAGGTCTTTTCCAAACTGAGTGATTCTGTGATTCTGTGAGACGTCAGTGCAGTGTGATGCAAAGGGAAGCAAGGGTTTTCTGTACTGAAATGAAATAGTTATTTGAGAACATATATAATTGTCCAAACAAGTTTGCCATCATCAAAACAAGCTGCTCTGTAATTGTTTGCTAGTCCTTCTTGCATCTTAGACTTGAATCCCCAAACTTGAAAGACTTGCCCAGATTAGGAGCTTAAATGCATTGCTTTTGAAACACCTTTTATATAACACCACATCCCTGACCCCTCTCCCCTTGAAGATGATCAACCTTCCCATAACACACAGTCAGTAACAGCTATCATCATTATGAAATGACAGTTTGGTTGCATTGGCTCCCACTAGTTAACATATGACACGAGCAGACTGAAGGACACATGCTGGGGTCAGCATGAGGCTGCAGCCCAGCCCAGCAGGCATGCATGGTGCAGCTGCCCAAAGCAGCAGTGCTGACAGGAGTGCAGCTGCACGAGAGGTGGTTTCAGCTGTGTGATGCTGTTTCTGTGCCCTGTTCCAGGCAATGAAATGTCCCCGGTGCACTGAGGATGTACTGAATGCTTGGTGCTGAGGGCTGTGCTGTTTGTGCCTGCCCAGCCTGTCACTGAGTGCTGGGACTTCTAAAGTGTAGGTTATTGCTCAGACTGCTCTAGAAATGGGACTGATTCCTATGGCTGATGTTTTGAAGAAGAAGGATTTAGTCTTTGTAGGGTGTTTCCTTCCTGCACTTGAAGGGAGCTTCCAAGGAGGAAAAGGACCAACTTTTTACAGTCTGATAGTGACTGCAGGACAAGGAGGAATGGCTTTAAAGTGAAGGAGCGGAGATGTGTGTGAGCTGTGAGGAAGCAATCCTTTGGTCAGGGCGGTGAGGCGCTGGCGCTGCTGCCCAGAGAGCTGTGGGTGCCCCATCCCTGCAGGCACTCCAGGCCAGGTGGGATGGGGCCCTGGGCAGCCTGAGCTGGTGGGGGGCAGCCCTGCCCACGGCCGGGGTGGCACTGGGTGGGCTTTGAGCTCCCCTCCAACCTGAGCCATGCTGTGGTTCTATGATTCTGTCTCAAAGGACTCCGTGAAAAGCGATACGAAAAAACACAACTGCCTCAGTAAAAATGCTCGATAGTGGGTTACATTACATGCATGGTTGTATTTTTGAAAGCTCAGCTACAATTGACCAAGCACACTTTCACATATTTTGTAAGATTAACAACTCAAAGGTCGTATCTATATTACATTGCCATTAAATTCAGAACCAAACTTGCAATTCAGATTGTGAATGAGCAGCAGAACGTTGGAGATAGGCAGAAATAATGGAGTACTGAGCTGCCCTTCAGCAAGGGGAACAATTTCTGACTTCAGCATGGCAGAGCACAGCCAAATAACAACAAGGTGTGAGCAGCAGCACGCCATGAGCCTTTGTTTGACGCTGCTGCCACAGGAGCTGAACGCTGCTGGCACAAACGGAGTCCCAGGTCAGTGAATGAACCTCTTCACTTCGCGAAAGCAGCATGAAACAGAAAATGTCAATAAAGGTTTGATCTTACCAGTGGGAGCAGACATCGCTGGAGGTTTATGTGGAGGAGCTGGGTAGATCTCAGGGCTTGCAACATTAAGTTCAGTTAATCCAGAGTCTGGCAGCGATGGGCTTTGTTGAAAATGCCTTTTGGGACTGGCAGTTTCCCCAGGCTGCGGAGATCCCTGGCCTGGACTGTAGCCACAGCTTTCATTTTCAGTGATGTTTTGCTTGACCAGTAGCTCAGGGCTCGTGCAGACTGTTTGCAGCATTACCTCTGCGTGCGTAGAAGAGAGCTGAGAAAGGAAGGGTGGGAATAAAACCCTGCTGAGCTGCAAAAGAAAGAAGTATCCAGTTTCACATCAAGAACATGACAGCTGTGTTTAACTCTCCATCGTGGTTAGGCCCAACTCCCTCTTCTGTTCCTCAAAGCGAACTGTAGTGGCTGCAGAATAAAGGCAGTCCCTGCAAACTGCCTGGGAGAGTTTCTTGGCTCACTCTTTATAGTCAGGCACGGCCCAAAGGACGTCAGCATGAAGGTCCCACCCTCTTTCCCAACGATCTGCAGCAGCAGCTGATGAAGAAATGGCTTTTCCCAAGAAGAGTCTGAGCACAAGTAGAAAAGAGCTCTTCCTTAGATAGAAACCATGAAAATCTATTTGATTTAATGCAAATAGCATGGGGAGAGAAAGAGACCTCTGAATGGACTGATAGATTGGACAGTGCAAATGAGCTCTGGATCCAGTGCTTTGTCAATTCCTTTGTCGGAAACAAAAAACAAAGCAGTTTTCCAAATCTGCAAAAGAGGAACTTACAGAAGCCAAAATAATCTTCCCCTAAGCACAAAAATCCAGCTAAGGAAACACCCCCCCCCCCACCCTCTGCTAGCTTTGAGTCTATGAAGAGTGAAGTGCTGCATCATAGAACCACAGAATATGCCCCATTCAGGATTTTGGTGTTTCTGCCTGTGAGGATTTGCCTGTTTCATTTTTGGCAAGGGGGGATGTTAAGTATGTGATGGGCACAGCTACTGGAACTCACATGAAGAATCTATCTGGACGAATCCTCTTCTTGCGGGAAGCCCATTTCCTGAGGCCACCAGGAGACCTCAGTGCAAGGTTTAAACTCTGTTCTCATGTCCCTGGGAAATCCCTTGCAGTTCACACACCTACTTGAGGGCAGTGACGCTTCAGCTGAAACAGGTACTTCCCTCAGGTAGTTTGTTTGGAAGGCTGCAGACTTCATCCGAGGCAGCAGCTCCCTTAGCTGTGTCCTGCACAGCACTCCTCTCCTAAGCAGAATCACCCTGTGTGTGCCTGATCAGGAAGCAGACAGCCTTTCTGCACCCAGTTATGAGAACTGCGTTACGAACAGCTTTCGTTTAAATTGGGCACTGGCTGCTCTCTACAGACTTGCACAACCCTCGTGTCCCATTTCCTCTGTGCTGTTGCAACTCCAGACTTAGGAATATTGGCAGTTGTGAGGCAGTGCTCACAACTAGATCTGGTGTTTGTACAGTGAGCATGGAGTCAGGTACCAAGATGGTGGCATTACTGCATCATAAAACACGACTGCACGGCGGGGAGGCATGGCTGACAGACCCATTTCTTTGCATGGATGCCCATGATCTCAGCTAACAGAGCAAAGCAGATCTCTTGCTGTGAAATCCTTGGGGCTCTGTAGGTGTTGTCTGGAGCTTAAGGACATATAATGGGCCATTGCTCCAGTCCCTTGGTGGACTGTAACCAGTTTGCCCCAGGGAAGCGATCTGTAAAAGGATATTTCAGGGGTTAGAGGATTATTTACCTCTCTAACAATGACCCAGCCACAAAAAGTAACGATTATTCTTAACTAAGCACTATTCTGCTCTGCCTCAATAAGTATTTCCCTTCTGTCTCACCCGGTTTCCCTTGTAGGTTGTGTGAGCCTAGGATGAGCTGGAGCTAGGATCTGCTCCTGCCTTCCTTCCTGACAAGAAGCAGTTTGTTCTTCTGTGAACATCAGTGCTCTCATCAGAGGGATGAAGCATCACTAGAGAACTGATCAACGCTTGTATAGGTGGGAAAGTTTGGCTGACTGCAAACAGGAAATTGCTGCAATGAATCACTGCATTTATTGGGTTGTAAATCAGACTGGAGATTTCTCATCTTCCTATTCTCTTCCATACTCCGATCCGTATATTGGACAGTTTTCATGCTTATTTATAACATGCTACTGCATCCACAGTGAAGACAGGAATTAGCCTGGCTTTATGACACAGACAGGACCAAAACATATTCCTGTAGCCAGGAGAAGAGAAGCAGTTTTGCATAACCAGCAACAGAAACCTTGGAATGTGGCCCCTGCAAGAAACTGTCTCCAAGGCTTTGAATTTAACTGGGAATCCTGTGGTTCTTTTGCTTCCAAATTCAACAGGTACCTGATATTTTATGCAAACACTTCAGCATTGCAAATTCATGTACCTCTTATGAGTCTTATTCTACAAACATTACTAAAATCAGCCCAAATTGGAGACCAGCTGTGCACTCTCAGCTGCACTGCTGTCCTGTTTCACTCGCGATTTTGAATTTGGACTGACTAGGAATGCCACTGGTCATGTTCTCCTGCAAACACCATGGCAAGGCAAGTTTCAGCATGCACAGCAAGCAGAGAAATTGTAAATAAGGCTTTCTAGGATCTGTAAGTACTTCTTCAGATGGTGCCTCTTGAGTCTCACAGCTGCGGGCAGAACTGTTCAGCTTACAGCTCAGTAAAACCTGGGTTGGAAAAAATAGTTTCTAGCTGAGGCATATTTGGTTTTCATCATCTTCCATAGCTGGAGTGATGTAACCCATTCTGTACCATTTAGTTAAGAAAGGGGGAAATGTCTAGCAGTGAGGAAGTATGGAATGAGGAGGGGGACGTAAGTGTGAGCATTTGGGAAAGTCTTCAGTGGCCACGTGGGGAAGGAGATGAGGCCAACACACAGCTTTGGTCGGCCATACTTAGAGTAGCCCTGCTCTTTAGGAAGGACTGGTTTGCACTTCTTGTCTTGCTTCCCCTCCTCGTTAAGAAGAATAGCATGCTGGATCTTTGCCATGGGGATTTTTTTCCTTTCTAAGTGTACATATGTCATGTTCTTAGATAAATGGCCTTCACCATCTGGAAGTTCCAAGTGAATAACTGTACTTACAGCAGTTCCTTTCTGATTGATTTACGATGGGCAGCTCTGCCAACCGCTCTCCATGTAAACTTTCAGGTTATGCTGCCAGTGGGCGCAGCTCCTTTTATACTTTTGGATGCAGGATGAATGCTCTGTAGCTTCCTTCATCCCTTGTTGCTACATGTCTCCTTAGTGCACACACCCACTTTAACAGCATTTGCTGGGTTAGGTTTTTGTCTGTCTTTCCCTTTCGATGTTGCTGTTTTGCCAACTGTTAACTTGCCTGAGAAATCCTTTGTTGCAAAGATTTCCTCTATTAATACTATTTTGAATATGTAGGAATCAGGAGATGGTGGGATAAATCTGCACTGCTGTAGACAGCGAGCATGGCTCTTTTCCCTGCTTTCACGTGCTTGATCAGAATGTAAATAAAACACAGCCTTTGTATGTGGCTCTCTTTAAAAGCGACCAGTTTATTTTGTAGGTAGGCCTTGAGCTCAACGAATGCCCAGTGATTTAAAAAGTACTCATATTCAGAACTAGTGCAGAACGTGTGCAGGATTTCTTCTGTTTATCTCTCATGGGAACTGGTGCTCTGGGGCAGAGGCGCTTAGTGAAAAATTGAAGTCATGCTGCACTTCAGATGTGCATTCTTGTCAAAGCTTGCATCCACGCAGGCGCGTGGCTTTATGATGCCTTTATGATGCTGCTCTCCAGCCCGTCTCACATTTTCTGAGTAAACAGGAATAGCTAATTTGCTATGCTGAGACAAGCCACTGGGTAATTGCATCTCGGGTCTCTGCTGACGACGGCTGGCATACGATGCTTCAGAAGGAAACACACTTATAATGAAAGAGGTCGGTGCCGTGCAGGTGAACCCCAACAGCAATTAGTCACGGGGATGACGACGAAGCATGAACTCACCTCACCTCTTGCTGCAGGACAGAGCTGTGTTGCAAACAAAATGGATTTGTCTTTGCAATAGCAGAGTCATTCGGATCGCCCTGAAATCCTTGCTCTAGTAACTGATGTCCTGCTCTTGTGAGGCTCTGAAATCCTTAGATGAAAGATGGGTGTGTTTTCACTTAGCAGTGACTATTTTCTTTTGGTAACCATTCATGCTCTTTTCTGCCTTTAGGTGGCAGAAATGGAACATAAGAAATAGGCAAGGTCCATTTTCATATATTGTGAATTCTGAATGCTTTCCATCTTTCCTTTAGAGATGCTGTTTATTGTGGTCTCCTCTATGTTTTCCCTAAGCACAGATGAGCACTCTAACTGGCCTTCACCAACTCTTTCTGTACAAAGGATGGAAAGCAATGATGCTGTTTGCAGCAGCAAAGGGTGTAGAGAATAGAAAAAGGGGCTGTGTAACAAAGGGCAGAGGAGACCTAAAACCCCCAGAGGATATCAGACCTTGCAACACGCTGGGCAGATGAGAATTTCGTGTCAGAGCACGGAATTTATTCCTACATCTGCAGCATACACTCTGTGAGCTTCTGCTCTGCAGCATCAGTGCCACATGGAGTCTGTCATTTGGAAAAGGGAGTTTAATGCTTTATTCCCAGGGGATGAGTCAAAATGGAGCTATTAGGCAGCGTCTGCTATAAATGTGAAGAGTACAACTCTGCTTACAAATGGAGAATAACTCATCAGTATCTATCCAAGGGAGGCCTTTGAAATGCTGTGTGTTGCTTCGCAGGTTGCTTTGGTCAAATATCTACGTCCAGCAGCAGGCGCTGATCTGAGAGATGAGGTTTTAAAGTGAAGCTTCAAGTAAAGCTTAATACTTCTGCTTCTGCTGACTGTGGAAGTGTGTTGGATGCAGGGCTCCTGGCCTTCTTCCCTTCAGCCAGAGGCTTGAAATGCTGCAGGAGAAGAATGCATTAGTGCAAAGATCAGATTAGAGTACATGTGTAGCTGTAAATCCGAGCCACTTCAGCACCATGAGCTGTGTGCTTAGCAGCAAACCTCCCTTTCTCCATGTTCTGTCTGTGCTCAGCACAGGCACCATGACTTTAGTGGGAAAAAGCATCTGGACTCATGCTGGTTTGCTAAACAATGCCAGGCTTGCAGTAAGTCAGAGGCTCCTTGTGTAATATTGCAACATCAATCCTGGGCTTTCAAGATACTAGGGAAATTAGAACCTTAGAAAATGTTCCATGGACACTTTTTATGATACTTTACTGTTTATTAGCTCTTCACAAACACAGAGAACGCAGCAGGGCCAAATTTAAGGACTGAATGTCCTTTGCTTCCAGCTGAGTGACCTGTGCCTGTCTGGGATTGCTTACCTGGGAGTTCTTGAATTCTGAGTACAGTGAGAAAAGGACGTGCAGAGGCTGGATCCAACTCTTATACACAGGGATGTCCACAATGGCTACAAAAAAAAAGCAGAAGTGTACAGGACTACTCTGCTCTGCATGGAGTGTCGTAGGTCAGCCCTGAACTTCTCACTGCCTCCAATTACTTGGCCTTTGCTCACCTATGACTGCATGCATCTCTGCCACAAGAGTCCACTTCCTACTGAAGACAACAGAAAATGGTCTTGACTACTTAGGCCTGAATCTGCATCTGAAAGTCTCCTTTTTAATAACAGTGACAGGCCAGCAGTACACTTGTGTCTTCAGCAGTGAATGGTATTCAAGACTAGAGCTGAACTGTCCCGAATATCCAAAAGGGCCAAGTGTACCTACCAAGACTGAGTTGTTCTGTTTTTTTCCTACCTAAGCTCTTAAAAGTGTTGACTGCTCACTATCATCAGCCTGCTGAGCAGAGCAGACAGAACCCAAGCCCATGAAGATGAATAGCAACAAGCTACAGTTTGTCAAAACACCCTCTTTGGACCAGCCTGAGAAACCTCGGTGCCTCTCACAGCTGAACATTTCCTTTCGGTGTCAGTTTCTGTGCTAGGGACAATCAGATAATCTTTAACTGAGGGTAAGAGAGGAAACTTCCCTGCTTACCACATGTCATGTCAACGTATTCAGCCAGGTCACAATTCATTTCTGCAGTTGGGAGGCCCACCTGAAAATGGAGGAGTTGTCAGTTTTGCTCTTGTACAGCAAAGGCCTGAGAGCACGCACTGACCTTGAGCTGAGAACAGGGGCTACCTGGGCAGCAGCCAGGCATTCAGACTTTAGGCTGGTCAGAAGGAAATGATAAGTGAAGAACAAATCTGAACTGAGTGGGGTGCAAACTGGTCAAAGAGGAAGAGAAATCCAGATTTCAAGTGGGATCATTTTTAATGCTATGCCCTGAACTAACTGCCTGAAACTTGGATGACATACCTTTCCCAAGAGCTCCTCAAATTCCGGTAACCACTCCTGCATGAGGGTTTCTATGTCAGGCATGGGCCTGTAAAAGAAGAAGGACAAAGAAAAACCTTAGGATTGCAGGCCAAGAAGATGAAATGGCTTCATACTGCAACTGCTGTGAATGAAACGGACCACTGAGAGAGATCTGTATGTCTGCAGAGCATCATTTTATTCATTAAAATAGGACTAAGTTTTTAATTTGTGCTTAGAAACGTGCTAGAACCATCACTTCCTTTGGAGTGAGGCTGAGCTGCTGTGAATTGGAAGTCTGGGCAGAAGGGTGTGCCGCAACTGCTGAGACTCAATCCAGGACATGGTAAAGAATAAGTCTTGACTCCTTTGACTTGTCCAGATCTTCTTTTTACAGAGTATTGATTGCAAGAAGTTGGATGTTGCATATGGGAGCTGTTAGAATTGTTTTGAGGCACGAAGGGAAAGAGAAGTGCAAAGAGGGAAACAGCATCCTGCGCACGTACACAACTACCCTGAAACTCAGCACTTCTCCCTCTCAGAGACATTTTGATCATTCTGCTCAGTGCTCCTGGTCTCTGCCACCCCCTGACCCGATGTTCTGCTGACACAGTGGCTCACCGGCTGTAGTGGACAGTGGCAGGAGGTTTGCAGCGGTGCAGTTCACTGATACTTTCAATCCAGTTGTCAATGGCTTTGGGGTTCTTCTCTGCATTCTCCACACTTTTCACTTTTATCTGCTGCTAGAAACAAAAATATAAACCTGGAAGCACTTTGTGGTGTTTTGTTTTGTTTTTTTTTAATACCCTGTGTTCACTCCTGATGAACCATGTGGTTTCACTTTTGTAGTTGTATTTATTTCAGGAGATTTCTTCAGACAGAACAGCAAGTGGGAAACAAAACCAGGTAGGGAGAATAAAAACAAAAAAAAAAAAAAAGAAAAAAGAAAAAAGAAAAAAAAAGCTTAACCTAAAGGAAATCAAAAGATCGTAAGTCTGTTCTGAAACTCGCCTGAGGCAGGGCTTAGTTACATTTCAGTTTAAAGCTACCGGTCAAAAAGGGTTACTTTCTTTTGAAGCCAAGTTATCAGTTGTGTTGTGTTGCTATAGTCCCACAAAGAGCAAAGTGCAATGTCTTCATTCTAGCCAGAGTGCAGTAAATGCCTTCTCTCCCTCCATGACTCACTGTAACGTTGTGCTGTTTGGAATTCTCCGTTAGCCAGAGAGAGAGCACTGTGGGATCTGACTGCTTCGTTGATGGCTCATCTAAGACCAGCAGACCGAGGTTATCAGGCTTGCCATCTGGGCGTGGGACCTGCAGGTAAAACACAGAAGGAATCCTCTGTGGGAGTAGCAGGGGATGCTGGAACTATTCTGTGCCCTGCCTCCCTGTTAGAAATTCAGACTCAGTTCAGGAGGAATTTGTAAGCATGCTGCTTTGAAAGAGCAGAAAATAGGAGTTGTTAGCACAGCGGAACCCAAAACGCATAAGGTGTTGGACAAAGAAACAGGGAACCCTTGCACCAAATTATGTATGTGCTATGGGGGATGTCACCAAAGTGACCAGCCAGGTCACAGCGTTGCTACATGTGATCTCCTAGGTGTCTACAACAGGATCTTCTACAGCACAGGGCACCTCACTGCCACCAGGACATTGTGGCCGAAGTCTTGGCTATACAGCCTGCCTGCCAGGCTCATACCAAAGCCACCCGCTGCTTCAGCCTGTGTGGCAGTAGGTACGGGGATACCTGAAAATGTACCTTTAGGAAGGCATCAATGTCTCCAACAGCAGGAATGAAGTCTGGAATAAAAGGCTGCAGTTTGTGCTCAATCTCTATTGTTTTTGGAGTGTACCTGAAGAGAGAAAAACAACGTTATTACACAGTGGGCGACTGACATTTCCCGCCAGACTTACCCTTGAGACACAGGAGAACCTAAGGCAGGCAAAAACACCTTCAACTCACCTCCTTATGTATTCAAAGAGTTCTTTAATTTCAGCAGATACTGGCAGGTAGTCATAATCTGCTAGGTTGTAGTCACTGAAGAGAGAAAGAGAAATTGACGCAGACATTATATGGCTTCAAGCTGTGCCAGGGGAGATATAGGCTGGTCATTAGGAAATACTACTTCTCTAAAAGAGTGGTCAGGCACTGGAATGGGCTGCCCAGGGAGGCGGTGGAGTCACCAACCCTGGAGGCGTTCAAGGAACATTTGGATTTTGTGTTGAGGGACGTGGTTTAGTGAGAGCTATTGGTGATGGTTGGGCTGGATGATCTTTTCCAACCTTGGTGATTCTGTGATTACTTCATGTTAGTTTTTGCGCAATAACAAAGGCACGAACACGGATCCAGCTGTGCCCCAAAGCCGTGAGGGAAGCAGAAGCAGGACGGCTCTCACTGAGAGGCTTCCCTGCGTGCACAATGACGCTGAGCCCTTTTTAGCCACGGGCTCCCGGCTCCCCCCGCTGCTCACCCCTCCAGCGGAGCCCCACGATCCTCCGAATCGTCCTCTGAGTCGCTCTCGGAGGAATCGTCATCATCGTCATCATCGTCATCGTCATCGTCGTCCTCGCTGGCGGCGGAGGGTCCCGGCCGGGCCGCCGTTTCCTTCATGGCCGGAGGGACGCGGTCTCACCGTGCCGCCCAGCTCCGCTCCTCCCTGCCCGCCCCTCGCGGCCCGGTTACCCCCTCACCCCGTTACCGCCGCCCTCCACGCCGTCGCTCCGCTCTCCCGCGCCGCCGGGCCGCGCTCCCGGGCCGCCGCCTCCCGACCAGGGCGGCTCCGGCCGGCGGGAGCCTCGCGGGCGGTTCGCGCTCCCCACCGCCTCCTCGGTCTCCGGCAGCTCCAGGCTCTCGTCGTATGGCTGGTTCTCCACCGGACGAGGCCGGGCGGAGGGACGCGGGGAGGCGACGGCGCGGCCCGGCCCGGCCCCGCTCCCCTCGGACGGCCGCCGCTCCGCCATGACGCCGCCCTCCGTCGCCGTGGCGACCGTCTCGCTCGCCCTTCCCCGGCTAGAGCGGCGTCCGCGGCCCGGCCTGGCGGACGCGGAGCGGTATCTTCCCCTGCCGGTCTGAGCGGGTACTGCCGGCGTCCGCCCTCGGGGCCGCGCTCCGGGTCCTCCCGCCCCGCCCCTCCCCGCGCGCCGTGCGCGGCGCCGCTTCCGGCTGGGGACGTGGCTCGGCGCCGCCATCTTGTGGGGCTGCCCGAGGGGACGCGGAGCGCCGAGGGAGCGAGCGCCGAGCCGAGCGCCGCCGCCATGGTAAGGGCGGGCCCGCCGCCGACCGTTCGCTCACGAGGCCGCTGCCCGTGGTGCTCGGGGGCCGCTGTCTGCCGGCCCGGGACCCCGGAAGCGCGCGGGGCCCTGCAGGGCCTCGCATCGCTCGGCGGCTCCGCTGCGGTTCTTCGGCCACTACCCGGCGGCCGCCCGCCCCGCAGAGCCGCATCTCTGGGCCGCGGTGCACGGCGGAGCCGCGGGGCTTTTGGACCTCGCTGCAGCTCTGCGAAGGGCCCAACCGCCCCCTGAGCCGTGCAGCCTGGGCAGGGCTGTGCTCCGGCCTCACACGGCGGGCAGGGCCGCTTACGGCGACGGGGGTTTGTGGGGCACGGCCTGCGGTGCGCTGGGTGATGGTGATGTGAACGCTGTCATCTTCAGCTGGGCCTCGTCCCTTGCCGCCTGAGGCGGCAGCTCGGGTGGAGGTCATTTGTGTCCCGTTGTCTCGGGGTGACGTGGAGCTGCGAGCTTTCCTTCCCGGAACGGGACCTGCTGCTGCTTGGTGAGATAGCAGAGGCCGAGGTGCTGTTGGAACCAGCGGTGCCATTCTGGACTGAGCAGTTTGGGGATGGAGGCTCGTGCCTCATCTGCTCTCTTCAGGATATCCTCGACTGCGGGGTCCCTGTGGCCACTCACTGTACAGCAGTTGTGCCAGCTGCTGGCTGCTCAGCTGGCCGTGCTGTTGGCTAGGGTTCATGCTTGAAATCTGCATGCACTGAAGAGCTTCTGGTGCTTTTCTCGTTGTTAAAATGCTGTGAATAAAATTGGCTGGGAAGTTAAAGGATCTTAGCTTTAGAAACTGCTTTATCTTGACTATGTTAATGAAGAAACTCATCTGTGAGTGAAGTATTTCAGGAAGAAGTCGAGGTGGAGAGAATGAGAAAGTGTAAATGGGCAGTTGCCTTACTGCCTTTGTATTGTTGGTGTGATAACATCGGTGAAATGTCCAGGAGAGTCAACCACGTACTGTAATTAATATAATGCTCCATATTTTATTAACCTGGCTTAGGGGACGTGTGGCACTGGGGAAAAATGTTCCATTTCAAAACGTTCCAGTGTTTATTGTGACTTTTCTTTTGGGGCTGAACTAACAGACAGTTCAGACCTTTGCCTAAAGCATTGTTGGGGTTTTGTCAAACCCCTGCGTATGGAGGAAGAGGTGAATTTGCTGCATGGCCTGAATGTAGGACTGAGAGCTTTAAATGCTGTTAGCACAGAAGGTGGGCTGGAGAGTGTCTGCAGGGAGTAACAAAGGTGGATCTGCTTGTGGAATGGTTAAATTCTTGGTGCTGGTTGCGGAAAGATGCTTAAAGTCACGTGTTAGGGAAACGAGCTCATTGGGAAGGTAAAGAGTGGTTGGCAGTGATCCTTCCTTTGCACACAACGCTGCGTCAGCTTTGTGGAGCATCCGATGGGCAGAGCTGAGCTGTGTGTGTCCCATAGGTGCTGTTGGCGGCAGCTGTCTGCACAAAGGCAGGGAAGGCCATCGTCTCCCGGCAGTTCGTGGAGATGACCCGAACCCGCATCGAGGGGCTGCTGGCAGCTTTCCCCAAGCTCATGAACACTGGGAAGCAGCACACTTTTGTGGAAACGGAGAGTGTGCGCTACGTCTATCAGCCGATGGAGAAGCTCTACATGGTGCTGATCACCACGAAAAACAGCAACATCCTGGAAGACCTGGAAACACTCCGACTCTTCTCTAGAGTGGTAAGGATCTGCACGTCGGGGCGCTTACTGCAAAGCTCACACGTGTACCCTGAAACAGGGCCGTGACGAGGGAAGCTGGTGGTGAGCTGTTGCTGAAGCGCTCTGCCTCCACCTAACAACTTGATTTTCTGCAGCCTGTTCCCGACCTGGAAGTAACTTTAATGTTTTTGTGGTAATTTTGAACTATATCTGAGCAGTCCGTGGTTGCCATTTAACTGGGGAGGCCAAAGGGGTGATGCTGTAAATGTAGTGTCAAACATTTTCTATTTTCTTTAGGTAGCAGCTGCTGCCTTCTACAAAGAACTTGGCTTCACCATACGCAGTTGAGAGGCGTAGCTGTACTCTAAATGGATTTCTAAATAATGAGTTGTTGCAGTTGCCTTTTTATTAACTTCATAATCTATTTCTGTGCAGCTGAAGGATCTTCAGGAAACTAACTAGCATCACAGGGTGTGTTTGTTTTGGTTCCCGTGAATTACAAAGTTAAAACTATGCTAAAAGGCTCCGTAAGTTTTAGCTGAGGAAAATCAAATAGTCACAAAACTCCGTTTCGTTTGTCAACAATGTAAAGGAATGAAAAGGAGCTTCACAGGTGCTGATTGTCACACCTGCATCTGTTCTGAATGTTTTTCCCTACCTAGATCCCTGAATACTGTCGAGCTCTAGAGGAGAATGAGATCTCTGAGCACTGCTTTGACCTGATTTTTGCCTTTGATGAAATTGTTGCCCTGGGCTACCGTGAGAATGTGAACTTGGCGCAAATTCGGACCTTCACAGAGATGGACTCGCATGAGGAAAAGGTGTTCCGAGCTGTCCGAGAGGTGAGAGCAGGAATTGCAGTGCGAGGTGCTCTGGGTGCTGCTGCTTTATGCAGAGGTGCTGCTCTGCTGTGATAAGGGTTGTAAGATCCAGCTTTCCTGTGCACTAAATGCCCGCTCTTGGTTCTGTCAAGAAGTCTTTGTAAGGTGATGCTGTACAGATCAGCTGCAGTGCAGGCTGAGATTGCAAAGCTTTAGCAAGTTTCATCTTTTACTTCAGACTCAGGAACGTGAAGCAAAAGCGGAGATGCGTCGTAAGGCGAAGGAGCTGCAGCAGGCCAGGAGGGACGCGGAGAGGCTGGGCAAGAAGGCGCCCGGCTTCGGTGGCTTCGGCAGCTCGGCTGTGTCTGGGGGCACAACAGCAGCAATGATCACAGAGACCATCATTGAAACAGAGAAGCCCAAAGTGGCACCAGCGCCGTCCAGGTAGGCGTGCAGTTGGCAGCAGGCAGTGCTGTCTGCAGGGCTTCATGTGGCTTCTTCCTGAGTCTTTGTGGATAAACAGGTGCTGGAGCAACTGCTGTGTTTGTGGGTACAGAAGGGAGCGGTCACATATGGCTGGCGCTGCTGTGCTGTTAGTGCTTGTCAGGTGCTGCTGCGCTTTGGGAATCAAGAGCTTTCTTGCAAGGAGCGTTTTGTACAGTAATTATGGGTTATCTGTATGCCTCCATCTCTGGAGGAAGATAGGGAAGGTCAGGCCTCTCCTGCGTGTCCTCACCGAAGTGAGCTTAATATTGCTGGGACAGTCAAGTCACAGCTCTCGAAGGATCAGACTGAGGAAGGATGAAAGTGCTGTGCTGAGCTGACTTGGAGATGTTTGTGCTTTTTGTTTAGGCCGTCAGGTCCCAGTAAAGCTCTGAAACTTGGCGCCAAAGGGAAGGAGGTGGACAACTTTGTGGACAAGCTGAAATCCGAGGGAGAAAACATCATGACTTCTGTAGGCAAACGCTCTACAGAAGCAGCCAAAGTTCTTGCACCACCCGTTAATATGGAGAGGTAGGTGTTACGCTTCTTCTGGAAGCAGTCTTCTCACTGCTTTGTTTTAAAAGATGATGGGTAAAATCTGGGAAAGCACAGCCACAACAGAAAGAGATCTTCTTTGATTTGAAAGTGCCCTAGTTAGAATGAGATGCACATCCTCTGTTTTGCTCAGATGGGGAATTTTCCTATGCCTTCTGGAATGTGTCTCATTGGTTTTTTTCCCCCCAGCAGATGAGTTAAAGTAGCTGTCATTTTTTTTGGTTACCCAGATACAAATAGCTCCTGTCCTGCTGCATCTTAGAATACAAGTATTCACAGTTTCTTTGACGTGTAGCAAATCAAAAGCTCTTCTGCTGTGAGCCATTCTGCTGTGTGGTAGAAGGGTTCTGAGTGAACAGCACATGGAGATGCTGTGTTGCTGATGTGGTTTCCATTCATTCCAGACTTGTGCCCATAGATCCATATTCCCCTCAGTTGATGATGCATCTGTTGAGCTGTCAGCGTCGTTCTGTTAGGACCATCGTGCTCTTTGGAGCATGTGCTCATGTGGGCTGTCCTTGCTGAACGTTGATTTCTTGTCTTGCTTATCCAGTGTGCATATGAAAATAGAGGAGAAGATTTCCTTGACTTGTGGCCGTGATGGGGGCTTACAGAACATGGAGCTGCATGGCATGATCATGCTGCACATCTCTGATGAAAAGTTTGCACGAATTCGCCTGCATGTAGAAAATGAAGACAAGAGGGGAGTGCAATTACAGGTAAAGAGATTGGTGTGCCATCCTTGTGCTGCCTTCTGGGGCAAAACATCGGAAATACTCGAGTGTGTTGGTGTGATCTTACCCCAGCCTGTTCAGCTAATGAATTGAAAGGGGGAGTGGTCAGCACAGACTGCAGTGTAAATGCTGGGCTAAATCCTGCCGAGAAGGTTCAAGGTCACTTGAGAAATCCGGGCAGAATTTCAGGCTGATAAGAACATAGGGCTTCTGAGCCAGATAGAGAACAAAGGTGTGTTTCTCAGAGGAATGCACTGGGGGATGTGGAGGGCTGTCTCACTGGAACGTGGGTTGTCTGAAATACTGGTCAGCCTGAGGCTTGAAGTCACCGCGTGGCTGACGCAGCCTCGGCTTTTGTCCCCGTTTCAGACTCATCCGAACGTGGACAAGAAGCTGTTCACTGCAGAGTCACAGATTGGTTTGAAGAACCCGGAGAAATCGTTCCCTATTAACAGTGACGTGGGTGTGCTGAAGTGGAGGTTGCAGACGACGGAGGAGTCCTTCATTCCACTGACCAGTGAGTGCGGGGCGGGCGGGAGCTCAGCTGGAAGAGCTGGGTGTCCATCTGTGAGCTGCCTGCTTGCACCTGGCCTTGCAGCAGCTGGGGTGGCTCTGCAGTGAGGTGCGTTGTGAGATTGAAGGGGTGGAGACTTATCTGTGCCTTCCTCTGGATAAAAGCTGTTGTTATTACCAATGTACCTCGAGTACTGTGTCCGGTTTTGGGCCTCTCACTGCAAGAAAGATAGTGAGGCCCTGGAACGTGTTCAAAGGAGGGCAACAAAGCTGGTGAGGGGTCTGGAACACAGGCCATATGAGGAGAGGCTGAAGGAGCTGGGAATGTTCAGCCTGGAGAAGAGGAGGCTCAGGGGAGACCTCATTGCTCTCTATAACTTCCTGAAGGGAGGTTGTAGTGAGTTGGAGGTCGGCCTCTTCTCTCGTGTCATCAGTGATAGGACCAGGGGGAATGGTTTCAAGCTACGGCAGGGGAGATTCAGGCTGGACATTAGGAAGTATTACTTTTCAGAAAGGGTGGTCAGGCACTGGAATGGATGCCCAGGGAGGTGGTGGAGTCACTGAGCCTGGGGGTGTTCAAGGAAAGACTGGATGTTGTGTTGAGGGACATGGTTTAGTGGGAGCTATTGGGAATAGGTGAATGGTTGGACTGGGTGATCTTTTAGGTCTTTTCCAACCTTGGTGATTCTATGATTCTATGATTCTATGTCTGTTTTCCATTCTCGAAGAAAGCAAAGATTTTATTTGACAGAATTTCTTGGTTAGAGTTTTACTTTGCTTTTCAAAGTAGGTAACCTTTTGCAAGCCCGTTCTTCTTACAAAGGTTGTATATTTTCTCCTACTCTCAGTTAACTGCTGGCCATCGGAAAGTGGGAACAGCTGTGATGTTAACATTGAATACGAGTTGCAGGAGGAGAGCCTAGAGCTGAACGACGTGGTCATCATGATCCCTCTACCGTAAGTGACGCCCCATGCCTGGCCCTTCGTGTGTCCTGTCAGCTCCTGGGCCTCTTGGGTTTGTAGGTCAGGCCAAGCTCTGTGCTCGACAGCTGTTTCCTCGGCTCGGTGCAGACATGGGGTTGTGACTCTTTCCTTTCTCCAGGTCTGGTGTTGGTGCCCCGGTGATCGGGGAGATCGATGGCGAATATCGCCACGACAGCCGGAGGAATCTCCTGGAGTGGTGCCTGCCAGTGATAGATGCCAAAAACAAGAGTGGCAGCCTGGAGTTCAGCATAGCAGGGCAGCCAAATGACTTCTTTCCAGTACAGGTCTCCTTCATCTCCAAAAAGAACTATTGCAACATACAGGTATGGTCACCTGGGAGCGGCGCTCACCGAGGAATGCTTGCAGACTGTGCTGTAGCTGCAATTAGACTGTCTGTCTGTGCTTGTGCCACGTGTTTGCCTCTGTCCTTGATGTTCTTTAGCTGTGCTGTTGTCTTCAGAAGAGCATGTCCCCCGCGGACAGTTTTTTCTTTACAGTGCTGTGATCTCTTGCTGTGCTTATGCTCAGTGTGTTTGAGACTGCCCCTTCCTCTGCCTGTCAGAGTGAGAGCAGACAGCACCAGTATCTGGCTCCTGCAGGGGCTTAGTGCCTTCACAGAGTGATTTTTACTTCTGTCAAGCTACCTCAGCATCCTCTGGCCAGAGACTTTCGCAAACACTGACTTGTGATTCACAAGTTCTGGGTTGGTTCTGTCCTTCTTGACCGTGTCAGAGTTGGAAAGTTGTGCTTCTTGTGTTGGGAAGTGATGTTAAATGCTGACCTTGCTGTATGTGTTATCTCCACAGGTTACCAAAGTGACCCAGGTGGATGGAAACAGCCCTGTAAGGTTTTCTACTGAAACCACCTTCCTGGTGGACAAGTACGAAATCCTGTAATGCCAGCTGTGGGGAATTGCAAAGGAAATTTTTAAATTAAAAAAAAAAAAAGAGGCCGAAGTTTATTCAGAATGTTTGGAACGCCACAGCCCTCTGCTGAGACACAAGGCTCTGTGTGCCATCTGCAGTGTCCTGGGTCACAGACATTTTTGGCAGAGAATTGAACATGTTCATGGGGGGGAAAGGCTACGAATTTCTTTGGCAGATTTTTACTGGCTAGCAGGAGAACAAGATCTCTGCACAGAACCTGGCTTTGACGCTTCCCCATCTCCCATGAAGATGACTGGAGCTCAGTCCCAGAGCCTACTTAAACATCACACCCGCCCGTTTTTAATTATCAAACACTGTTCTGTTGTTGGTGCTGCCATTTTAATTTCTCCTCAGCCTTCAACTCTTGCTTCTGGTGATGAAAACAGGCATAAAGGTAATGCACTCAGTGATGCAGTGCTTCTCTGGACCCTTCCATCTGGAAAGAAGTGGACTCGCTGCTCAGACCCGATTGCAGTGTTCCCTGCTGTACAGCAGTGAGTTTCAGCCCCACATCTGCAGGAGTCCTTTGGGCCTCTCCTGGTGTTGGTTTAGGTGGCCGCGGCTCTGAGCGCTCCGATCTGCCCTGCGGGGAGAACAGCACCCAGGGTGGCTGCCCCAAGGTTTGCCGTGTTGCAGGAACTCCCTGGCCAAGGCTCACGTCCTGGCTCAGGCTGTGGCAGCGCCTTGGTAGGCTGAGCTGCTCTACCTGGCAGGGTGAGGGTGTGCACAGAGCCTGCTTTGCTTCACCTGCACGCAGTAGGAGCGGGGTTAGGACCTGGCACAAACTGTGCTTTCTTGGTGCTTAGGAGCAGAGGCGAGGGAAGTGGTTTCCTGAAAGCCTGCTGGGTTGATCTGAGCACGAGCAGCACCCAGAGCTGTTCCTCCTCTGCCTGCGTGGCAGCACTTTGTCCCCCAGAGCTGTGCTCCCCCACGTCCATCCCAGCCGCCCGCTCTGGGGCAGTCACCAACTGCGCTCTGCAGGGCAGCTCCCCAGCTGCTGTGTGGGACGGGCTGCTGGGCTGAGCGTGGAGGTGAAATCCGAGGGCTGTCCTGTCCTCACAAGTCCTGAACCCACGCGCTGTGCCCCAGAGATGCAGTGAGATGTGTTGGTTCCCATCGGGTCCTCTGCCAAAGAAGTTAGCGGTCTCTCCTCTGTTAACAGCGCCAGTGAGGAAATAAATGATCCTTTCCCTGGGGGGTGATGTGTTCTGGGGGAGGGAAAGCAAACCCTGTTCTGTAGTGAAGTAGACGATGAATCTTATTAATTCAGTTGTGTTCAGGAGTTGCTTGTCTGTACGATTTTAAAATGGAGTCGAGTTTAGTTCAAACATCAAAGGAGCATTTTTATTAAATTTGTCAGAGGGTAATATTTAAAAACCAGGACCCCAGTTTTTGTAACCCTGTACAATAATGGCCTAGGGAATAGAGCACATTCCAGTGTATACAAAGAATACAAATTCTTTAATCAAATAAAAAGAGTATTATAAAAGGAATCTGCCTGGCTTGAGTGGAGATGTGCGGGGTGGCCTGCAGAAGACATGGGGACAACAAACACTGCAGCACTGGCACTGCGTCCCTGCAGAGAAAGGCTCCAGGCAGAGCCAGCTGCAGCATCCAGGCCCAGGCTGGGATTTATGGCAGGGTTGGTTTATGGTTTGGGAATAACCAAGGGGAAAATGTCGTTGAGTCTCCTGAACGTGACTTCCTCTCCCGGAGTTGAGGAGCTTCCCAGCAGTGCAGGTGGAGGCAGATGGCAAAGGGACGAGGTGAAGTGTTTGGAATTGGCTCTGCTGCGTCCCCTGCCAAGGCTGAACCTGCAGGGCGGAGCTGTGCTGAAATATTCATGGGGCTTTCCTCGAGTAAACAGCATTAAAAATGCAGTGAGCGTTTGAGTAACAGCCATCAGCTGTGCATCATGGGCTGGAGGAGTTGTGTAAAGAAGGGAAGTTTCTTTTCAAGCTGTGGGGCTGAGAAGCCTCCCCTTCCTGCAGGGCAGCAGCCATCTGTCATTCAGGCAGCAAGAAATTAGATGGAGAAACAGCCGCTGCTGTTTGACCTTTACTCCTCCAGGTGTGCTGCAGCCTGAAGACCAAAGGGGAACCTGGCTTTGGGGCTGTTCCCCTGCAGCACCTGGGCCTTCTGCACCTGGCTGCAGATGGGCTGATGATAAGCAGCAGCTGTGGGCTGGCCCTTCTGGTCTGCCCAGCTCAACGTGGCACAGTGCACCGTGAGGCTGCTCTGGGTGCTTCCCACAGAGGAGCTTTTGGGGGGGGGGTGAGAGGGGGATGGCAGCTGGGAGATGGGTTGGGAGCTGAAACAAGGAGCCCCTTCAGCACACCCTGAGCTCTGCGGTGCGCACGGCACAGGGAGGGAAACCCAAGCTGCTGGGGGAAGCAGTGGCTGTGAGCACCGTGCTGGCATGGTGAGCTGTGCTGCTGAGCAAAGCTGGGCCTCTTCTGTGGCACCTGGGCTGTCGCTGATCTGCTTCCTGCTCCTTTCCCCAGGGTCCGGATGCAGCTGAGCACCGTCCCCACAACCAGCCTGGCACTGGGGATGCTGCACAGAGCTGTGGGAGCCCCGCAGCAGAGCTGAGGATGGAGCACGGTGAGTTGTGTGTGGGCAGGGGAAGCGAGGGGCCTTGCCTGGGTCTCAGCCTCCTCCAGAACCTGTGGCCTCAGTGCATCACCTCGGGGCAAAGGGTTGGAAGGTCCCAGGTATAGGGGCACAGGGACCTGGGGATGTATCTGGAGAGCAGAGGGGTGAGGGATGGATGAGGCGGTGTTCATCTCTCTCTGTTTCCTAAAGATTCTGCCAATACCGCCGCCAAAACACTCTGCACCACCTGGAGGCTGCTGCTGCTGCTGCTCGGGGTCATGGGGCTGCTGGCAGCAGCAGTGGCTGGAGCCTGGCTGCTGGGTCAGTACCTGCAGAACAGCCCCAGCTCCCTGCCCAGCCACACTCCTCACCTGCTGCTCTCCTCTCCCAAAGGGTGGCACCTTGGGGGCCCACAGCCACACGAGGGCTCGGCAAAGCCACAGGCATCAGACACTGTGACAGCATGCAGTGAGGGCGAGGAGCAGCCTGTGGTCCGCGGGGCAACTGGAGGAGGTTTCCCCCTTCCCACTGCCCCTACTGAACCTGAGATACTCCTGGATAGCGAATCTCTCCTGAACCTCTCTCTAAGCTCAGCTGCATGCTGCAATGGTTTCACTTTGCTTTTACATCCCCCTGCGCTGCCCAGCAGCGGTGCACGGCGTGCTCCCACCTTTGCATGCTCCCTCCCAGCAAAGCCGGGCTGAGAACGCTTCTAAAGTTTTACGCGCAGTTTATCATTCACTACAGATTGCTTTGCAGTTTGTTTCGCCGTAGGCCCCATGTGAAGCACTGCAGGGAGGTGAGGTCAGTGCTGTCAGTGTCTTTCAGGATCCAGGCAGGTGCCTCCCTGCTGGCGGTGCGGCCGCAGGACCGGTCCGGATGGCTGCTGGCCTGCCACGAGCGCTGGCAGCCCACGCTGGGCACACGGCTGTGCCGGCACCTCGGGGCGCTCAGGTGGGTGCCGGTAGGGATGGGAGCAGGGCAGCAGCCCACCCCTCCCTGGGCTGCTGCTGTTCCTTCTGCAGAGCGATACATCAGAAGGGGGTGAACCTGACGGACGTGAGGGTGGAGGACGGGCAGGAGTTTGCCCAGGTGGGGTCCAGCCTGGATGACGCGTGGCAGATCAGGTGAGGGCAGGGCTGGGCCGTGCTGGAGGAACAGGTGGGCGCTGCCTTCACCCAGCAGGCAGCTCCCTGAATGCGGTCCCCACACACAGGAGCAGCTGCGAGTCGGGCCGCGTCGTGGCACTGCAGTGCTCAGGTGGGTTCCCCCTTCTTTGCATACCTGTGACCTCCACCCCTCGTGCCCACTGAGCTCCGGCCCTGCCACAGCCTGCGGGCAGCGCCCGGCACCCGGGGGCCGCGTGGTGGGGGGCATGGATGCTGCCCCCGGGCGCTGGCCCTGGCAGGTGAGCATCCGCCACGGCTCCCAGCACCGCTGCGGTGGCTCCGTGCTGGCACCGCGCTGGATCGTCACCGCCGCCCATTGCGTGCACAGGTACAGGGCTGCCCTCAGCACGGGACCTGTGGTGGGGGCTCAGGGTCTGTGCTGGGGGCTCTGGGCTGCCCGGGGGCCCTTCTGTCCCCTCAGCTACCGGTGGCAGAGAGCATCGGGCTGGACGGTGCATGCTGGTGTCGCCCATGGCTCGGCCACGCAGGAGGCCAGGGTGCCGGTGGAGAGAATTATTTCTCATCCGCTGTACAACGATAACAGCATGGACTACGACATCGCTCTGATGAAGCTGCGAGTTCCCTTGAATTTCTCAGGTGAAGTGCTGCTGTGAGGCCCCTCAGCCTCTCCTGCCATGTGGGGAGCAGTGTGTGCAGCTGGGCTGTGCTTTGGGTGATGCCAGAGCTGCACGTTTCTGGAAAGGCACCCGGGGCTGTGCTACGAGCAGCTCTGGGCCCAGCCCATCCCCTCACCACCAGACGCCATTGGAGCTCTGTGCCTGCTGCCCTCCCACCAGGACCTGCTCCCAGGCACGCCGTGCTGGGTCTCGGGCTGGGGCTACACCAGGCCTGACCAAGGTAAGCCTTGTCCGTGCTCCCTGTCGGCCCTTCCTGTGCTGTGTGCGCAGTTCTGCCACTGCTTCTCCTCCTCTTGAAGCCCCACGAGTCCCTCAGTGTGACCCCATCTTCACACACAATCACAGAATGGCCTGGGTTGAAAAGGACCAAAATGACCATTTAGTTTCAATCCCCTGCTGTGTGCAGGTCGCCAACCAGCAGCCCAGGCTGCCCACGGCCACATCCAGCCTGGCCTTGAATGCCTGCAGGGATGGGGCATCCACAGCCTCCTTGGGCAGCCTGTTCCAGTGCCTCACCACCCTGTGTGTGAAAAACTTCCTCCTAATATCCAACCTGAACCTCCCCACCTCAGTTTAACACCATTCCCCCTTGTCCCATCACCATCCACCCTTGTAAACAGCCATTCCCCCTCCTGTTTATACGCTTCCTTTAAGTACTTAAGACCACACTGAGGTCCCCCCAGAACCTTCTCTTCTCCAATCTAAATAATCCCAGTTCCCTCAACCTTTTCTCATAGGAGAGCTGCCCCAGCCCTCTGCTCATCTCAGTGCCCTCCTCTGGACCCACTCCAAGAGCTCCACATCCTTCCTGTGCCTCCTGTCCTCTCCTGCTCCCTAAGATCACATTCCCTTCTTGCTTTCTCCCTCCCTCCCTCCCCAGCACAGCTCACCGAGACGCTGAAGGAAGCCCTGGTGCCGTTGATCAGCACCCAGAGGTGCAACAGCTCGTGTATGTATGCAGGAGAGCTCACGGCCAGGATGCTGTGCGCCGGGTACCAGCAGGGGAAGATCGATACCTGCCAGGTGATGGGCGGCCGGGGGCAGGAGCACAGCAGAGGGGCTTCGGGGCTGAGCGTCGCTGTGCTCCATCCCTGCACTGCGCAGGGTGACAGCGGGGGCGCCCTGGTGTGCCAGGATGAGCTGGCGTGGCGCCTGGTGGGCATCGTCAGCTGGGGCCGGGGCTGTGCTGAGCCAAACCGCCCGGGGGTTTACACCAACGTGCCTCAGCTTCTGCCCTGGATTTATGGCGTCACTGAGGTACGGCTGCAGCAATCGGCAGCACTGCGTAGAGAAACCCCACGGCCAGCGCTGCTGTCAGCACCCTGCCCTCACCCCAGTCCCTTTCCTTTTCTTTACCCAGATCTACTAGAAGCAAGGGGAAACCTCCCGCATCAACGCACGGCCCATTGCACGTCTGAGTGAAGAAAAGCCCAGGGCTAATTCCCACTGTTCCTATGACCCCCAAAGGAACGGCCCCAGGCACCAGCAGAACACGAGGCCGGTGTAAACAGTTTATTAAAGAAAATAGCAAATTGCATTTCTGTGAACGATGCCCACGGGAGAAGCGGCGTTTGGTTTTTTGCTGAGTGCTGTGTGTGAAAGGACAAGGACGCCCCAGGAGATGAGTGGTGTGGGAACGTTGTGAGCCCTTGGCTGCGAGAGGGGAAGGGGGGAAATAATACACAAGACAAAAGGAAAAGCTGGAGGTCCAAGTGATGCCTGCCATCCCTGCTGCCTTCCTGCAGGCTGGATGCGGCGTGAGCTGCTGAGTTCTGCACCCATGGTCAGGAATGCAAAGAGAATTCAGATCAAAGCCCAAATGAAAAGGATCCACTGGTATTAAAATATTCAGCTCTCAAGGACTGAAACTTTTGTCTGCAAGCATTACATGGTAGGAAATAGTTTTTGTGCAAAGAGGTACGTTGTGGCCTCGGGGCTGTGGTTCAACAGCAGCTACGGATGAGTTTTCCAATTAAAATAAACACGTATTTCTCAAAGCCTTCTGCAAAGTAAAGGACAATGCTGTGAGTGCACACTTAATTCCCTTCTTGTGTTATCCACGTTTATCTCATTCTTAAAGGACAGAAAAATTACTACTGCAAAGACAACAGATGCCAGACCTACTGCTTCATCAGCAGAAGGGGAAAGGAAGGAGCAGAACTGGCTTTCATAGCTGGCAGTGAGACTGAAGACAGAAAGTCAGGTTTAAGATATTTGCTGTGAGAAATCAAGCACGAGGAATTTTGCCACTTGTGCAAAACGCTCTGACCCGGTAAACAGCTGACAAGGAATGAGGTCTCCTCTTCCCCACCTCCAGTTTCACCCCTTCAAGGTCTGCTCTGCAGGGAAACCTGAGCAGAACAGGTGGGGAAGAGCAGAATTTGGCACCTGAGCATTCTTAGGAGACCAAATGCTACCATCAACGTGGGTTTCATCTGTATTTGCAGGGACAGATGAGGTAAGAGACAAAGGGGCTGCATGGCCCCTGCTGTAAAACTGTAGGTAAGAAAGATTGATGGGTGAGAAACAGAAATCCCTCCATAGGCCCCTGAGGCAAACAAGCTTGAGATGACGTACAGCACCTGCATGACAGCCCCACCTGCAGCACTGCTCATTCTCACTAGGAGAAGCTGGAGAGAGGACTTATTGCCTACGCTGGGCTTACAGAAATGCAAGAGGATGGGATTTAGCAAACACCACAGAAAGCACCTCTTCTTTAGCAGGACTGCACACCCACCAGCTCAAAGCAAAACCCAGGACCTGTGCATAATGCCTCCAGGGAGGAAATGGCACTTTCAAGCCCAAATTCCACCTGCCTGGCAGATGGAGCAGAAGCAGTTAGTGTCCATGTGCTATTCACCTTTGATTTCCTGGTCTGAGACTCACAGAGCCAAACCATTTGCCCTAAACACAGGGAGGAAATACAGGAAACCTCTCCCTCAGTCAAGCCCCCAGGAAGCACACACCCAATGCTATGCTTTTATAGTCCAGTACAAGAAAGGTCAAATCTGAAAGAAATAGATCAAAGATTCAGTTCGCTGTCCTTTATCAGAAGATGCAACATGTAGGAGGTAGCAGAGCTACTTGATCTTGGCCAGTGCTGCTGCTCTCCTTTCTGTGTTCTGGAACAAGGCTCGGATCAGACCCTTCACTTCTGCTGGGGAGAACTCAGCTGCAAGAGGTCCCTTCCCATCTGCCCACCTACAAGGGAGAAAGAGCTTTGGTTAACAAAACTGCATGGTAACCTCACACTGAAACAAACCTCTGGGGCTTTCACAGAGTCACAACAGTTCTCCAATTCCTGTGATGAATGGTTAAAGCAGATTGAAACGCATCAAGCATTTACAAGCATGGAACAGTGCTAAGCCTGGAAGCAAAACAAGTTGGTTGCCTATTAGCTGCACGCAACCTGAGTCCAGAATTACTTAATTAGGTATTTAAAGCAGACTTCTCAGTTGAGCCTGCAGATACCTACTGATCTACTATTTCTTGGAGGTTGGCCTGCAGGATGATCATCAGCTCTTTGAATGTCATCCACTTCTGCACGTAGACTGGAACCTCCTCTTGGTATTTCTTGTTCTTGTCCTCTTCAGGCAGCGGAGTGAAAACTTGAGGTCCCTCCTCCACCATGATCCTACAGAGTGAGTACAGCCTGTCTGCATCTTCTGCAGAGATGTCCTAGAATTGAACAAAGAATGTCCAAGAATGGAACAAATTGCTAACAAAAGAGCTGCTGGACGTGATTTTGGACCACTAGGCAGTAAGTGAAATGAAGGCAAAAACCAACTCAAACCCCAAAATGGGGCTGTGTGCATGAAGGCAAAAAGCATTTCATATTCTCAAGCAAACGTATTTCACAAATACTATTTAATCAAGTTCTCTGCAGTCACCTCAGAACAAGGCTTGTGCTTCTCAAGAGCAGATTCACTGTGAGGCAGAGTGGTTATGAAGGTCTGAGTGGTTTATGAGGAAAAACAGGGAATGCCAGCACAGCAAAGAAGGCAAAGCTTTTTGGCAGGCACAGCATAAGACAGCATCCCAGCTGCTACAGGAAAAGCCCTGTTCCCCTAACTGACAGCAAAGGGCCTTCAAGATACAGACCAAAACTGGCTCCCCTGAAACCTCAGCTTGTAAAGAGCTCCTGGAGGTCACCACTGTTCAGACCACGCTTATGCTTGGATGTCCACATCATGCAGTTACCTCCAGGGCAGCAATCCTAGTGACCATTTCGGAGAGCGCTGTGTTCAGTAAGGTGCCCATGGCCTTGCAGTACACGTTCACTGGAAGGACATCCTGCCAGACTTTCCCCAGTCTTTTCAGCTGATGCAATACCTGCAGTGTAACAGCCACACGTTACCCACGTGCTACCAAGAAGAATGTTGAAGAAGCACACAATGATACGGGCACTGCACACAGACCAAAGCAAGTTCTAAAGAAGCATAAGGCAATGAAGGAACACCACATTCAGCAGGTGTTCCTTAAAAGAAAGCAATGGCTTCAGTTTGCATTGCAGCTTATCAGAAACTGGACACCTTTTCCTTGAACAACGGAACATGGAGATGTACTACAGGAAAACTTCATGATTAAGAAACTGCTGCCTTGGTGCAAGCAGACTTGAACTCAGCATCCCACAGAATGAGGCACAGCCCAAGGACAGCATCTACAAACAACAACGCATCCAGCTTCAGCTTTGCCTTGCCTACCTGCCTTATGGCTTTGTTTGCTGCAGAGTAATTTTCCTCATCATCCATATTAGAAAAATTCCTGGCACTTGACAGCCTCTCCAGGATTTCTCCTTTCTGCACTCGCATCTGGGCCAGAAAACACTCCATCCCTTTAGGAGAAAAAAACAAGCAGAGAGAAGCAATTAAGGCATTATTTGTTTGCTCTGACGCTGATTTAGAGACTAAGTGCAGAATAATAAACCTGCCATGATGTTGTATTTTTAATAGAAATTTCCAGTCTCCAGTCATTCTCACAGAGCCAATTCAACCAGGCCCAGCCACTGCATTCAATAAGCTCTTGCACAGCTTGGACTCTGAGAAAGCTGAGCAGCAGGGCTCACTGTGGATCACAGGCTCCTGTTAAGCTAATGGCAGCTTATTTCAGAACTTGCTCCCAAAGAATAACCTAAAGAAAGTGTCAGAACAGTCAGCAGCAGATCCCCAAATATCTGTGCACAACACCTCACTGGTAACAGTCTGCTCTTAGAGCTATGCACCAAACAAGGTGAGCCCTGTTTAAATAGCCCAGTCCTGTACAGCTGTACTGCTTAGAGCCAGGAGCTCCACACACCTCCCTACCAAGATTTCCTTGCCCCAAACTCGTAAATAACAGATTAACAGTCTGTTTGAGTCAGTGGATACATTCTGAATCATTCAGCAACAAAAACCAGCATTAATTACCACATCACCTATCGAGGTACTTCAAGACTGAAAAGTAAAATTACCAAGTCTCCTAAAGCCAGGCACCAGGTCGACAAAAGTAGCTGCTCCATCACACAGGATGCTGGTCAGGCGGTACCGGAACTGATGCCCCATGGTGAGCAGGTGGTGAGCGATGTACATGCAGTTGTTGTGGTGAATAGCTGCGAGCTGGGGCAGTTTCTGGAGGTTCTCTCTGTCTCAGGAAGGAGAGGAAGAAATGTATGTATTTAGGCCTGGCTCTGTTAAACTGACATAGGGACGCTGCAGAAACAGTCTGACTGAAAGCGATGTTGCAAAGGAGGCACTGCAAGCAATGCTTGATAAGGCCACCAGCTGGAAGAGAAGTATACAATCCTCATTGCTGCTCTTACAGGGAAAGCAACATGAAAAATCTTAAAGGCCACCCCATGACAAAGCCAAGGGTGAGGGCTCCATTCAATAGCTGGATATGACAGAGGTTTGTAAGACCCAGGTTGCAAGACTCAGTTTTATACTGAAGATGCAGCTTCAGCTCACGCTGCCTGCGCTCCCACCCATGCAAGGGCCAGCAGGCACAGAGCCAGTCTCACTCATGCCAAAAGAAATATGAAAAGCCATCTCCTTGATCATAAGACCGCCAGCTAAGAAACTCTCAAGCAAATAATTTGCAACAGGTATGATTTATTTAGGGGGTAAAAGCAACAGCTTTTTCCCAGCAGAGGAAGTCCTCAGCAGCTTTTGGACTCGCTGGACAAAAGAGAGATCGAGTGGGATGGTTCCAACAGTGCTGTGCTGAGTGCAAAGCAGGCCTGAAGTCACACATCACACACTTACTTGTGGTACGTTGGCACTACATCATAGAACAGCTGGAATATATTCCTCACGGAGTAGAAGAGCTGTATGCAGCTACAAGGAAAACAAGGCTCACGTCAGTTTGTCTGAATTAACATCTGTGCGCCCAGCGACTCTCGCCCCTCTCTTAAAAAAGGTTTTGTTAGTGGTAAAGCACATTCTCCTTAATGAACAAACGAAAAATCAACCAGGGAAGGGCAATAAAGGCAACATCCTCCACAATTCACAAAGGCTTCTCACAAGAGCTGTGATGACCTTGAAAGTCCAGTGTGGAGGAGATGAGCTTTGGAGCACAAGTCAGAACAGAGATATGTGAGACCCCACAAACAAAGGGAGCCGTGTCCTCCCTCCCAGCAGGTATGCACGTGTACTCAGCCCTTGCTGCCACAGCACAGTGCAGGGCATTCAGTACCTGGGAAACTCTCCCTCTTCAGGGTTGTGGGCTCCAGTTTTTAGAGCTGGCTGTATGCAGCTTCTCAGAACATTCCACTGCTTTCTTTCAAGAGCCCTGACAGATGCAGAGCTGGAGTTTTTTGCTTGCATTCAACACGCATGCAAAAAGAAAGCAAGAACTCACCTCAGAACCTTAGGGTGCCATCCCTTACTGGGTTGGAACAAAAGAAATGGCTTTTATCTTTTCAAACAACAGAAACAGACCACACGATGGAGTACTGCAGTGAACACAGCAGTAGCATTTCTCCCAAACAAGAGACTGAGGCTGTGAACTGCCCTGTGCTGCCACTGCTGCTCAAATATGGCAAAACCCACCTGAATGCTCCCTGAAACCAAGAGCCTGAAAGGCTGCTCTGCTCAACCAGTGCTCCTGCTGCACCAACCTATTGCACAAACCCAGGCACGCAGCCTTCAGCCAAAACACAGCACAGCTTTAATGATTAATTCTAATCTTTAAGTACCCTCTGCTCTCATGAATTCCTTCTAATCTATTAGCAGATGCTTAGTGCTGCCAAAGGCAATACATATCTGACTCCCAGAAGCTACAGGCTGAGATGTAATTCCTACCACTGATCTGTGCTGGCTGTAGTCTCCAACAGAGTTTGATAAGCCAGCTCCATCAGCTTCTCCACCGATGCACTGATACGGCACGTGGGCAAAGAAAAGGTGTACTGGCTCAGCTTAGAGTCATTGTCCAAACTGAGCACCTCGTTAGGAAGGAGTTTAGAAGTCTTCTGCATTTTAACATGATCTCCAGACCCAGGATCAGGAAGTTTTGGTAGGGCTACGCAGGAATCAGGTGTGATCTAAGGGAAAACGAAAGAAAAGCATAACTATAATCAGAGCCCAGAGAAAGGAGACTGTGTGAGGTCAGAAAACACTGATTTGAGCCTCAAGGTAAGCATTAAGCTGCAGAAATGCCCTGAGACTGCTGGAGGTCTCATGACTTATGAATGACACAGAAGGTCATGAAAGCCTACAGTTTCATGCCTAGAAGCAAGCCCTACAAGTGAACCTCTACGTTGGCTTTTCTTTTTCTAACCCTGGCCAAAAAAACCTACAAAAGTAACCTTCGGGTATTTTAATACCTAGCTGGTGAGATAACCTACTTGAGTACCTTCTAAAAAGACTCTGAAGCTCTTGTTTGCCAGGATCCCCAAACAGTAGTCCTCCATAAGAAGGACTCAGCTGTCCTAGACAAGCCTTCTTCAACAGCCACGTTATTTTCCCACAGAGAAGAACAGGATGGTGCATCAGCAGTACCTTTACAGTATTGTGTATTTCTGAGGTCATCAGGTTTCTGGCTGCCACAATCACATCCTGGCATTTCTTGTGAGCAAAGTGGGAATTGACATTACGGGCGTATTTCAGTAAATCTGTTGTGTCTCCATTCAAAAACTGCATTTTCTTCAAGGCTTTTTCAAATTCCTCGGTGGATTTAATCACCTGAAAAGAGCAGACATTCTCCATCGATACCTGTGGACTGCAAGTTTCCTAAAATCAAATAACAAAATTAAAGCTGGATAGAAATTCTTCCACTCAGATGGAAGTAAAGGATAAAACCTGGCTGTAAAGATCACTGCCTGACAGCTCTCAGCAAAAGAAAAAGCTGGCTCAGGTGGAGGCCACGATCACCCAGAAATCGTCTTTTAGCTGCAGCTTTCTGCTGAAGATGGTGATGTGGTATTTCCACTAAATAAACCTGAAAGACTTTGAGACCTACCTCTATATACTGCTCTAATTTGCTGCTGTTGGTTGGGATCGAATTCACCAGGCAGTTCTGAATGAGGCAGTCTGACAGCTCTTCCCATACCATATCACCCAGCAGTTCTGCCAGTGTCACTCTGCCCTCC